AGTCTCCTGATTAGGGTTTTCATACCCTCATGCCAGGTCTTAGCTTGACCACCCTTTGTTTTTTTCCACTCGCTACCGGCCTTGGCAAACATCGCTCGCCGTGGCAACCTATTGGCGACATGCGTAGCACATGTCCCCAACCAGCGTAATCTATGGAGGTCGATCACTTTCTCTAGTGGACGACCGCGACTGCCTAAAACTCTACGCCTAACCTCAGCATTGCTCGTCCGATTACCCCACCAGACACGTGCAATGCTACGTAGACAGCGTTGTTCGAACACCGACAATCTATTTTTATCCTGTTCCTTTAGTAGCCAAGTCGCTGCAAGGGGATCACGGCAAACTGTTATGCGGTCGAATCGAGTTCACGTGCCGGTTGAATTGGAGCGCCACGCTGCCGTCTGTTGAGAGCTGTGTCAGAAGTTGGTACTGTATAGGAACAGGTGGTGATCTGCGCAGAACTGAAGAAGTTGATCACCGTTATCTGTTTGCAGGCAGGACAGAACACAATGACCGCCTAGGTAAACTTCCGATGTGCTTAGTTCTCCAACTTGCGCGGTAAAGTCACCCGCGATAACAACTCTATCGGATCCTCGGTTCAATCGAATGAGTTCGCTGAGTTTATCACAAAACTCGTCCTTTTCTGCGTGAGAACTGCAGTTGGTCGGTGCATACGCTGAAATGATGAACAAACGTCTTTTGCTGTTGCTGCCCTCCCGGACGTTCATAGACCCGTGGAGCAGCATTGCACGTAAGCGACTGTGGACGGGGATCCAATCGATTAATGACATTTCGGCTGAGCAAAGTACCTACGCCACGCTGGCCTACTGAACGGGTTACATCGTCACTTGATTTGCAGATGGAGTAACTCGTGTCTCCTAATCGCAGCAGACATCGATTCATTAAAAGTAAATTGTACACGCCAGACAAGCTTCACGACCCACCTTCATCCTAGTCCTCACATTGAAGGGCCCCAGATTCAGCGATTGATGAATCTTTAGAATATACAGTGAATTTATTGGTAAGCTACTTGCAAACTTTTGCTAGTGATGACCAAGTTGTCTGGAGGGAATGTTAGGGGTCGGAAGAAGGTGTAAAGGGAGAGAATTGGGTACAGAAGACAAAGAGTTAAATAACGATTAGGATGTCTGAGAAGTAGCCCATTTATCACTACCTATCCGGCTCGATGTAATGAGCAGCTCAGTCCTGATTATCCTGCGCGACAACTGATGCAGTTTGGAATTATTTTTTGTTTGTGTTCATTGTAGCTTTATGGACGGGTACTGGCAGGATGTCCAGTCACTAAGCAATAGAGCGATTAGTGTTCTCATTCAAAGCCTTTACTTCTAATAAGAACCTGTCCGCAATCCAGCGAGTAAAGGGAACTTGAACATATTAGCTTGAATCTATCCTTCGACCTTCGAGACACCATCTGGCTTGATAAAAGCCATCCTATGTAGCTCTTCTTGTCATAGGGGTAATGGTGGCACAGTAGTTTAGTCGTTGTCACAAGCATGCTTTGGACCCTATGGTTCGAGTTTCCAGCCCCGCCACTGCCACCCGACTCTGGTGATAGGCAGCTTTGCTGTCATCCGGTCCAATACCACACCTAACCTGACGGGGCCTTATGTTGTTCGCCACTACAAGTCCCGGGGCTTAGGTTACCGGTTTCCATCACTGAACAGCAGATACTCGTGACTATGGGGCTTTCCCCGTCCACTGTTCATCACACAAAAGTGTGTAATAAAAAAACAAGCCATCGCGCTACGTCAAGGTGCAGTTTCTTCTATTTGGGTTTGTGCAGTTTGGTGTGATGGATCCGAATATGTACCTCCTCGGCCAGACTTCTCTATCCGCCACCCGTTGGATACTCGCGTTGGCATCCCGCTGTGCCCCTTGGATTTACCCCGCGAGAGCTCCGTCATCATTTCTGTCACGTTGCTCTCGGTTAGTGTCATCTTTTTGACAGTTTACTAAATTTTCACACTGAGGTTCATGAATGCTCAACGTAGGCGGTGTACTCCTATGTTTTCCTCCCTGGTTTCTTGTTTTAATTAGTAAGCATAATCTGTTTTCGCTAAGTAGTGTCGTTGGTACCCTATATTTTGCTATTACAACGATAATTGGCGTGAATAACAGTTGTACCATCAGTTGCTATCTTTCTCTTAACAAACTAGGTGGCTCGAAATCTAATTTTGCACGGCTGCGAGGAGTGCCCGAAATCAGAAGACATTTGGCTTGAAGCCGCACGTCTTGTTCAACCAGAACAAGCCAAATCTGTCGTGGCTCAGGGAATTCGTCATCTACCACAAGCTGTGCGCCTTTGGGTTAAGGCTGCACAGTTGGAAACCGAAGTTAAGGCGAAAAAAGTGGTTTACAAGAAGGGTGAGTGATTAGTATACTAACTTTGGCTAATTTTTCATACTTTACCTCTGTTATCTGAGAATTTTTGAAGTGTACAGTTTGTTTCACGTTGTGCAATAAATCATACCAGAAGTAGACGGGATGACACCATTGTGCGTCAGAAAACTGAAACGATGGTGTAAACTGATCAGCAACTCTGAGGTAAACCTTATTGTATTTGGAAATGTTATCGCAGTGGATCCAAATGAGTAGTCTTAGCCGAATAGGACACATATTCTGTTTGCCCGACATTCGTCAAACGCACCACGCTCTGTTTTCAGGAGCCCCTAGAGGTTGGAGGAAATCACGTGATGGGACATGAACGAATGCACGAAGAGATGATATATAGTGGGTTTCTCATGTTCCTGGCTGGGATCCAGAGGACCCCGCAACTGGGTGGTTGAGAAAACTGAATGACATGGCGGCGAAACGACAGCAGCGGCGTACTTTTATTTATTCATTATCGCCTCTTAATACTAGACAGTTATTTTTGCACACTGGACTGTGTGATTTGAGTTGACCATAAAGGTTCACCCCCCCCCACCCACACACGATGTCCCGGGCTAACCACTGGTGGTTGACCTAGGTAGTTGGCCACAAACCCTGATTCCAAACCAACCTTCCCACATCTTCCCGGTTGTGGCAGTGGTCACCGGCTCCATTGGACATCGAGGTGTATTTTAGGCTCCTTGGACGTTTGCTCCCGTCCAAAGGGCGTATGATCCGATGAACTGGATACTGGCCTCCAGTGAAGTGCGGCTTTCGCACACCGCCCCGCTGCCTTGCGGGTCAGGCTTTGGCTAGCCAAAGACTCCGGTTGTTGATTCCTCAAGAGATTTCATCTGTCTTAGCCTGGGCAATCTGGTAGTATTCGACTGTTCCGACTGATACGCAACACGGGAGGTCGGCGAACCCCAGTTAGTGAAACAGTCTGCGATAAGAGGGGACAAGCTATTCACAATGGGGATCAACGACTCGATCGCTGGGCAGAATACTTCAACGAACAGTTCAGCTGGCCTAGTGCTAACCAGGCTGCTTCATCTCCAACTGAAGCTCCGTGGGCAGTGTCATGCGATCCTCCAACGGAAGCAGAAGTTCGGTCTTGCATTCAATCTCCGAAGCGAGGAAAAGCAGCAGGACCTGATGAGCTCCCTCCCACTCTCTTCAAGATGGGAGGTGATTACCTCGTAACCTCTTTTACTACGCTACTGCGCAATATTTGGATGCAAGAGCACATTCCTTCATCTTGGGGA